AAGCCCGGAAATTTTTGGAAATAAAAAAAAAAGTGCGGTAAGGTATCGTGATACTTAATTATATGAATCGATCGGTAGATCTTGAATACTGATATTCACAAGTTATAAATACACATGAACCCCTGTAGGCCTAACACATGTTAAAAAGGCACCCTTGCTTTTCAAAAATATTTTAAATACCAAGTTTTACAGTTTCAATGAAACCCCTAAAATTCACAATTCTGGAAGATTAGGGTCCTTGCATCTAACTACATTGAGGTAGTTCATCTGCGTAACACCCAATGGCAGAGAAGAAAATTTTCAAAGATTTAAAGTATTTTAACTATATAATCAATAGAGCCCCACCCTATCACTAGAACCCCTGACCCTAGGGCCATAAAATCAAAATTTTGGAAGAGGTTTTCTTGCTCATCATAACTATGTACTTAGTTTATTTAATTCCTAGGAGCAGAAAAGAATTTTTTTCAAAGAATTCATGTATTTCCATTATATAATCAATAGAGCCCCACCCTAACACTAGAACCCCTGACCCTGGGGCCATAAATTTCAAATTTATGGTAGAGGCACTCTTGCACATCATAACTATGTACTTAGTTAGTTTATTTAATACTCAGGAGCAGAGAAGATGATTTTCAAAGAATTCAGGTATTTTCACTATATAATCTATAGATAACACCAGAACCCCTGACCCTGGGGTCATAAAATTCACAATTTTGGAAGAGGCACTCTTGCTCATCATAACTATGCACTTAGTTAGTTTATTTAATACTCAGGAGCAGAGAAGAAGATTTTCAAAGAATTCATGAATTTTCACTATATAACTTAGAGCCCCGCCCTAACACTAGAACCCCTGACCCTGGGGCCATTAAATTCACAATTTTTGTAGAGGCACTCTTGCTCATCATAACTATGCACTTTGTTAGTTTATTTAATACCCAGGAGCAGAGAAGAAGATTTTCAAAGAAATAATGCATTTTCACTATATACTTATTTAGCCCCACCCTAGCACTAGAACAATGAATTTCACAATTTTGGTAGAGGACTCAATGTTGATTACAATCATTTTATTGCTTGAAGTGATATTTTTAAAGATTGTTTAATTTTAGTGGTTTTTGCCCCCCCCCCCCCCCGGCCCCAGTATGAAATTCACAATTTTTGTTCCCCTTCACCCATAGATGCTTTGTGCCAAATTTGGTTGAAATTGGTTCAGTGGTTGCAGAGAAGAAGCTGAAAATGTTCAAATGTTAACGGACGACGCACGACGACGGACGAAAACAGATAGCAATAGGTACCTGAGTTTACTCAGGTGACAAAATGTTACAGTAAACAGAATATGTAACTTTCACCACATCAGACATGAAGTAGTGATCCTTAAATAAAATACACCTACAAGATGAAGCTATTTTATTCCTTTGAAGTGATATCTAGTATTGTTTCTTTTTCTGTATGCCACCTGCCAAATGTTATACGCGTATTAACATAACCTATGACAATTAATTTACTTTACAATTAATTAAGTTCTGGGACCAACCCTCAGATGCCCTTAAAACAAATGATTCGTAACTGGCAAAGGTAAAGGGCATCTAAAGAATATAAAATAAAATGATAGTACAAACAAGCAAACAGTGTGCATGAAAATGTTGGCAAACACTAGATAAAATAATAAGGTACTTTCTCAAACTCAACATGAATACTAAAGAAGTTTTAGAAGAATTACACGCTTAGTGTGGACTTCCAGTAAGGCGTGGCATTCTCGACGTTACCTAATTAGCTTCTGAAATTTACACAGCTTCCCTTCACTGTTGAAATATACATATGATAGAAATGCGGCCGAATGTCAACATAAATAGCCAATTAAAAGTTCTCTCACGGCACAGAGGTGGAGCACAAGTTAATCAGGTTATTAATTTCGGTTGCCTAGTAGAAAGTCCAAAGATAGGGTAAAATACTCATATGTAGCTGTATTGAACATACAAAAAGCTTTCCTGCCATTAAAGGTTGGTTGCCTAGTAGTTATGTAGTATGTACCCCCTCTATTTCTTCTAATTTAAGAAGCGAAAATGTCTCTAAAAATCTTATGGTTGGCATGAAGTATTCCTGATCATTTTATTTTACTGATTACTTACAATTGTCCTATTTCTGAGGGTCATCTTCTGATGAGTGTGTTCTCTGCAATGTTCACAACTGAAGTTCCTGTTTGACCTGTTACATATTGAAAATTCTCAATGAACATGATTATGGTTTTAATTTCCATTGCAATTATTGATCACTTTTATTAAAAAAAATCTAAACCAATTTATTGTAACGTAATACTTAGGAAAATATTTATGAAATATCAATGGAAAAAAGGAATCATTATCTCCAGTTATCCTAAAATCACAAGTAAGCATTAATCATATAAATTCACATAGTTACGTAAACTCATTAGCTTTTTGTGCTATTAAATCATAGTCATCGCTGTGCAATAAAGGAAATCAAGTACTAATCCACAGCTTGGTGGCAATAAAGTTACTATCCCGAGTAAAAAGTGACAAGCCCAAATATAGAGGCAAAAATTAAAAAGTAACATTGAAAAAAAGTTCATCGTGAAGAAAGTCAGGGTATTAACTACAGATGATTCTTTTTAAAATTAAAGTTTAATTTAATTTTCGCTAGTAAAATTTAATCATATATAAATTAATGATTTAAAAAAATGAAAAAAAAAAGATTTTAAATATTCCTTTTCTGGTCATTCACTAGTTTGTCTAATTAAAACGAAACAAAAATCATTTTGTTTTCATCTTGAATCATTTAAAGCCATATATGGCGTATGTACAATGAAAATTATTAGACTGAAATTATAAAAACTTATTATTTGTATCATTAATTTATATAAACATGATAAAGATAGAAATTTTCCGTAAATTACAAAATCTAAGTCAATTGCATTATAAAGATATCAAAATTTAATTTGGATTCTCAAAATTTTCTCCGACTTGGAAGAAAATACAAATTTAAAGATTTAAATAACACATTACAGAGAAGATAAAATCGTATTATTAGATGAAACGAGGTGTTCTCCGTGCTCCGAATTGTATGAAAAGCTTTAGTTTAAATGTATTAACTATATTTCTTTACTTAATTTGTATTTTTCAAAAATATATATTTTTGATCACTTACACCATATATGGCTTTAAATAAAAAAAAGGGCAACATAATTGCACGACACTTATCATTGAGCTGATTGAGTAAATGTATAAAATATCTGTGAGGCATATATGTACATGCAAATATTGCTATATTAAACAAAGGAAAGGGGGGAAATGCAAATTAGGAAAAAAAAAGATCGTTTTTAAGTAAATCAGTCTGGTAGTACTGCAAATTGGATGCAGTTGTGGAGAATTATGGATAATAGGAGCATGCTGTCTGGAATATTTCCATATAGGGAATTTAATAGCAAAAAGGAGTGAAAATACCGGTGGTGCTTTTCATGCATTACATGTGTATTCTAAAATTCCGAATAGCCCAAGGGGATTCCTCAGTGCAGAAAACGACTAGCCCCATCCTCAAAAATGGAAGCCCCGGGTGGTAGCGCGATGCTAATTTATTACACACCCATCATGTGAAATAATTATAGTAGCCCTATATCAATTTCAGTATTGTTTTAAATTAATTAAAACAAATGCCAAAAACAATAATTAAAAAAAAAAAATAAAGCAGTCACTAAAAATCAAAGACAGAAAGAAGCACTGTTTTGACTGAACGTTTTTCAGTTATACAATGAATCTCTCAAGTTACATATCAGATGAGATAAACTTACATACAATTATTTAGTTGTTGTCAATTATCCCAGTTATCATCATCTCAGCTCACTTTGCGATTGTAATACTGTTTACATGAACCGATAATTTACAGCTGTCACAATATAAAAGCGGGGGTTAGAGTCAGAGGAATCTCGGATTAAGCTGATTCATGAACACACGATTGTTAAAATTTTCATTTCCCTTTCCAATATACATTTTCAGAACATACTTAGTTGGTTATGATATAAAATTAAATAATAAAAACTTTCGATTTATTAAAGATTATCTAACAATATACGATCATTTACTAAATACTTCTCGCCCTCAAGAGAGTTAAAAAGACAGAGAAAATTCAAAATACATACAAGTGCAACTTAGGATTAATTGTTCCGATATATCTATTTTAATTTTGTGCACAACTGTTTTCAAAATTACATTAAAATCAATTTTCCTTAAACAAGAACCCAGCAATAGATAAATATTAATCGAATAAACTTACCTTTTCTCTTGTCAATCAGACAATCTTGTTGACATTTAGTGTTTCTTAGTCGCCATATTTTTTTTCCATGAAAACAAACGTTGTTATGATCAGGATCAACGGAAGTTGATTTTCGGAACTCTCGAGAATTTAGAGTTCCGAATGTAAAACTGAAACACAAAACACGGTGCGTTCGTGAAAGCAACTTTTTTGGACACTTTTTTGGACAAATCGTCGTGTCCAAGTTTTGTTGGGTACTAACCTGCAAATATCCAATTAGGGTGTTTTAAGCATATTCAGCGACACTTCTTATTGGGTATACCCAATAAGCAAAAAGTACCCAATAAGTACAATCTTGGCATGAAAAATACCCAATAAATGCACTCTCGTAAACACGGACGGACGGACGGACGGACGGACGGACGGACGGACAAACCCAAATTAATATCCCCCACTTTTCAAGCGGGGGACAATAAATGTTTTCGTAGTAATAAGTTCTAGTATCTTATATCATAAAACAAAAAGAATTGTGTTATAAAAGAAATTAATTTTACATATTTGCATTATTTTTTTTTACTTAGTTAAATATGAAATTCATTTAAATAAGCTTATATAATGCGCTTCATAGCACAAACATTTGTGACAAGTCTTAGAAACTTAAACAACTGAAACTTACCTTAAACGTACATGTATTTCAAGCACATGATAAATGCAAATATGAATATATCTGACTTACTAACCAGAAAGGTATTGAAATGATTTGACACTTTCAATGACAAGTTCACATTTGTCTTTGTTGACAATTTCAGAGATATTCACTCCTTCCATAGCAGCCACAAAAGCCTCACTGTTCTGTCCATTTTTTCGTAGTAATTGAGATTTTCTCCAGTGGCCCTATCATTCACATATATACACGTACTTAAAAAAGTGAACATAACGAACAGTGAGAGATTTCGAAAAAATAAATTGTAACAAAAGAAATCATTTCTACTATTCGGACATCTTTTCAGACTTTTTGTGACCGTTGAGCTGTAAGGCTGAATGAAACACTTCCATCTTGAGATAAGGCAAAAAAAAAAAAAAAAACAGGACAAATTTTGTAAAAACTATCGCATAAATGATGGATACAGATTAGTATTTCTACCTTCATATATGTGTTGTCTATTTTGATTGCCAACTCCGCGTCTTTCATGGCCTCTTGAAGACGGTTGCTTTCCGCATAAACTGTACATCTGCTGGTATAGAGTATGGCACTGTCTTTGTGTAGCATATCACACCGTGTTGACAACTTTATAGCTCTGCTATAATGAAGAAGAGCCTGTTCATATTGCTTTTCGTCCTTTTCTGAATTTCCTTTCTCTTTGAGTTCGAGAACATGTCTTCGAACAGTTTCTGAATAAGAAAGAAAATGCTCTATATCATATTACTAATGAAACAAGTGAGGGAGCAGGAGGGAGGGAAAAAACATCAATTCATGTACTGTATTAACACTGTAGGAAAATAGAATAAAAAAATTTTCCTACACTCAAATCAAGCATAATAATGCAATGAATTTTGTTACATCCATCCAGCAAAAATTATAAATTTGACAAACCAATATCATTAAAAATTCTTGATAGAGATTCGAAACATTTGTCAGTATGATCACAGTAGTCGATTGGAAGTTTTTCGGTTTCATCAAAAATCAAGGCGCTGCAGCCGTGTTGAATGCAAAGCAATAGCAAGTTATTCCTCTCCTCATCACTACAGGTTTTTAACCGAACGATGACGTGTAGAGCTGAATTGCCATATCTATCAACTGCATCCTTTTTCTCTTGGGTGTCCAAATAATTTCTGAAGAACAGTTCTATTAACCCGTCATATCCTGTCAAAACATTAAGATCATAATGTTATTTTCATACTCCTTCAGGATTGAAATATAGAAATGTAAAAATGAACTTGCTTGTAAAAAAAATCAAAATATATCTTAATTACAATTACCCGTTTCCAATGTCTTAATGAGAACAACATGAAAAGCTGGAATTCCAAACACTTCTTCAATGTCTTGGTAAGGAGAACCGTTTTTTAGAAGCGCAACAGCAAGTCGCATCCCATATCGTTTTAAATCCGAAATAGAAAGATCCTCAAAAAGACAGGCAATCGAGACATGTTTGGCAGAAACGTTCGGAATCGAGAAATCCAAGGAACTCTTCGGGCCTCTGTGTTCCCCGGTAATAAGTAAGCTGACGCCTTCCCAGTGGTGACTGCTAGCCAGTCCCTGTAACAGCTTCTCTTGAGCATCGGTTTCGAGGGATTCGGGGTTTAATTCTTCGTGCTCTGCCAAAAGGGAATCACAATCACCTGTACAAAAAGAGATATGCTTGTCTTATTATTTGATGAGAAAAAGTTGTTTTTTTTTCCAGTGCACGATAAATTTGGAGTTGATTATAGGGATAATAGCAAATTTAAATGTAAGAAATTTAAAACACACCTGCAGCTTTTGTTCGTATATTTAACCAAATGCAATATGTATAGAATTTTTAATTACAGGTGACTCCCGATGGCTCGAACTCCGATCTCTCGAAGTGAACCTCCGACCCGTTTTTTTCCTCTATATAACTAAGCAAATTTACTTCTGATCTCTCGAACTTCTATCTCTCGAAGTTCTCTATCTCTCGAACCAAACCCTAGGCCCCGTTACACATATTTCATTGAATTTTACTCTCTATCTCTCGAAGTTCTGATTGCGTGTGTATACACGCCAATCAAGCGTAAAATTGATGCAGCCTGGACTTACCTGGAAACAGTGATCTCCTTGGGCTGGCATGGAGGTGTTAATTGGGCGTTTACACAGATGACACTACACCCTTGGGTCGCCCGTGTGTTGATATAATTAATTGGTTATTATTCATAGGGTAATTTATAAACAAATTCACAACTTATTTTGAATTGAAACCGAGACGATAATTTTTTGAAATTCATTTATAGATGTTCTTTTCAGTAAGTTCCCATAGACTAAAACTTTCATTATGATTATATAGATTTCACATAATCCCAGTTTGGCAAATATTGCACAAGAAATTCCTTTCTCAAAGTGTGAATACCGACTAAGAAAAATTTAGTGAACACTGCTGAAGGACCTGATCAAGCCGCGGAATAGCCAAACCGGCAATTGCTATTTGGGTTTCATGTAATCATGAAATAAGAACAAATAATTATTGAAACTTTAGGAATTCGTTTTATTTATTCGCAATACGATCATTGTTGTTGATATCAAGTAAATTACCTGTAAAATACGATTGAAAACTTAATGTCTTTATTTACATATACTTCGTATCTATAAAAGTAGAACTTCGGCGATCGGAACTGAAAATTCCGGATTTTATTTACTCTCTTTCTCTCGAACCCCTCGATCTCTCGAACTTTTCTTGCGGTCCCTTGAACTTCGAGAGATCGAGAGTCACCTGTAGATATTTTTTTAGATTGCCGAAAAGGAGAAAAGTAGACAGACAGAGGGATGGACAGGACAAAATTTATATACACGTGCCCCCTTCCAAATTTTCGATTTCGGAGCATTAAAAATTTAGAGGCCAGAAAACACAAAGAACTGAAATCAGATATCTTTTAATTGTATAACTCTTTGACATACTGTGGGTTTCATGAATCTTGTGCTAACATTCGATCAATTCAGTCGTCCGCATGGCGCAGTGGTTAGTGCGTATGCTTTAGAGTTGTAAAGTAAGAATTTGCTCCGAACGTGACGTGTTCAAATCTCACCATGGGGCATGAAAACCGGTCCTGCGGGTGAAAACGTCCGAACCGAGGTCTCGTGTCGAGTAGGTGCTAGCAAAAGAAGATCTCTGTCTACCCAACGGCCCTTAGTGACAAGCTTAAGCATAGGACAAAATTTTCAGCTCTCCACCAGCAAGTGGTGGGGTCTCCACATGAGTAAAAAAAATTCTTGGGAGTGACGTTAAATAGCATAGAATCAACCAACCGATTGATCAATGCATGGTTTCGTTTCATTATTATTTAATTACGCAGCAAACATTTTTAAAAAAATACAGATATCTAATCTAGCTTTAAATATCATTTATTTTCTAAATATTACTAGTGGAGTTTATGAAGAGATTTACTTTTACAATTGACAGCTGACTTTTACATTTTAGTGATTGGAGTTTGTCTATGTTCAAATTGTAAAAGTCAGTCGTCAATTGTAAAAGTAAGTCTCTTCATAAAACTCCAGTATGTATATTTGATTGTGAATGCATATAACATCTACAAAATATTGCAATTTTTTTGTATAATTAAAATACCTTGATGTTTTTGAAGCTGAGTTATTGTGACGATAAGTTCCTGAAGAAAAGTTATTGCGATCTCCTGGTCACCTTGGGGTAGTGTCACATTGTAGCCTTGTATCAATATGTTCAGAGCTTCATAAAAATTGTTCAAACCTTTGTAAGCAGCAGCAGACCGCAAATACCCCTGAAAATTTACATGGATGTCTTGATAACGGCATATTTTTGGAAGAAAATAAAAAAAAAATAGGGTAATTTCGGTCTCCAGCACAATATTGCAAAGAAAATATCCTTTTCTTCGGATAATCACAAAATATGTCTTTAAAAATAAAATTATTTTTCTCCAGTTTATGTAAAATGATTCAAAAACATTTCTTTTTTTCATCATGGCTATTTGTGTGAAATTTTCATAACAAATACTTCATCTTTACATACAAATTGTTGCAACGACTTATAGAAATTACCTTAGCCCCATGAGGGTTTAATCCGATGCATTGTTGGGCATCCGTCAAAGCCAATCCGAAGTCCCCCATTTTACTTAAAACCAATGACCGATTGCTGAGGATGTTCGAAAGTTCCTCCTGAACGTTCAGAAAAGGACCGCACATATTGCAATATTCCACTGCTGTATTATACATCGCAAAAGCGCTGGCGTAATCACCATGTCGCAGACTTTGTTCCCCATTCAATTTGCATTGTTGCAGTTGAAAAAAAGCCCATTGTCCCACTGAAACAAAGTTAGTTGTTTCTCTTCAAAAGACTTTTAAACTATAAAGTTTATCAAATCTCCAAAGTTCGGCTCGACAAACGTTATGTATACATGTACATGTAAATACAAAATAGACAAAGCATCACACTGTCTGGTAATGTGTTTCTATAATGCATTATCGTTACAAGTAATGTACACATAAGATCGATCTGTACACCCCCGTAAAAGGACTTAAAGCAAATACTAATCAATTGTCTTGCGAAGCTAGATAAGATCAATCCAGTTACTGTTTAACTTTGTTATAATTAGCTTTAATTTCATTCCTTTATTATTTTTAAGCAATTAATTAAAAGTTTTTAAAACTGCGGTTTGCTATATTAGCCGTACTAAATCTTCAATGAAACACGCAATGTGTCTGTCGTTAAAAACTGTTATATATTTAGATGTACAGCTGTACATATAATACTTTCTAGGAGGTAGATATACATATACTTACTTTGATCCACACTAGAAAGTCTTCCAAATGGATTCATCTTAAATTGTGGAATTTGCCGTGGATAATGTAGAGTTCTATGTTTCAAGAATATAATCTGAATAAATGTGAAAAACAGCTTTAATATGAGTTCATCTCTCTCAAATATTTGAAACCCTGCACGCGGAAACCATCTTCACAGGAAAGTAGAGTCCTCCACTTGAAACGGGCGAGTTCTAGGGTTCAATTTACGAAAGCCCTGAAGGCTCATTCCAGATTCAAATTTCGAAATACGAAATTCAAAATTCGAGTTTTGAAATTCGAGTATCGAGATTCAAGATCCAGATTAACCAATCAAAAGGCTCATTCAAGATTCGAGGTTCGAAATACGAAATTCGAAATTCGAGTTTCGAGATTCAAAATCCGGATTAAACAATCAAATACGGGTTCAACATTTAATTACTCCCCTTTATTATGTTTAATCTATCAAAAAATCGTTTAATATATTTATAACAAATGGGTCATTTGATTAAATTACAATGCAAGAAAGAGTGTTATATATATAAGAAGGAAATTTAAATAATTTTGGGATTTTTGATCAGCAAGATATACCTCAATTTATATTATGACTTCTTTAATATTATTATAATAATTATTATTAATATTAAATATTATATATATATATATATATATATATATATATATATATATATATATATATATATATATATAGCACATTTTACAACAACTCTTAAACTAACATAACTGCCCTAAGTGAAGAAGTATAAATATAGAACTTTAGATCAAAGAAATGCACTTTCACATGGATACCCACTTCCGCCCCAGCCCGGGGTTAAACTCTCGACCTTCGGAATCTGTCTCCTAGCAGTGCAGGAACAGCGCGCTAGACCGCTCTGCTATCTAGGCATGTCTGAAAAACTTGCTTTCGATGCCGATGGAATTCTCGCGGCGCTGCCCTACACTACACGGTTATTAAGAATAGAAGTGATATACAGTTTTTTGGACATTAGTTTTAACAGAAGATTGTGACCAATACATGTTATAATGAAATTATTTATTATTTATAAAGCACTTTTTACAACAACTCTTAAACTAACATAACTGCCCTAAGTGAAGAAGTGTTTTAAAATATAGAAAGCACAAAGAAATTCACTTTTACATGGATATCCACTTCCGCCCCAGCCCGGGGTTGAACTCTCGACCTTCGGAATCTGTTTCCTAGCAGTGCAGGGACAGCACCGTGAGAATTCCATCGACATCGAAAGTAAGTTTTTTAGACTTGCCTAGATAGCCGAGCGGTCTAGCGCTGTTCCTGCACCGCAACACCTGCCCATTTTTCCCGACACTGAAAATGTTACTTTTAAAATTTGAAAGGCAATGTAGCCTTGATAAAAAAAAAACCGCCTTCGTTTTCCTAATAGAGAAAATATATAAAAATAAAGTTTTCAACTAGAAACGATCTCGTTGCAAGCAACGAGAGGTCTTCCGTCCGATTCTGGAAAAAAACTCGTCAAGTCGAGCTGAGAAGTGATTAAAAATTTTGGTCACAAATTGAATCCAGGTCGCCAGCATGAAAATCCAATCCACTTTTTTCCCCTTTTATCCCCAACGCGCTAACCATTACGCTATTGGGAGTACTGCTGTAAATGTACTTGTGTATACTTTGGCTACAGTACACCTGTCTAAGAATTATAAAAGACGGGCCATTATTCATAATTTCGCGCCAAACGCCACGTTAAATCTTCGCGCCTTTTCTATGGACTGATCTATTAAATAGGTGTGATAGCTTCAATGAAATTAAGAAAAAAGAATGTTCTCATACCCTACATTTCGAGATTTAGAAAATACATTTAACACATTGTACACATTCAATAGAAAAGTAACACAAAAGCAGTGAAATGACTATAATTTAAATTTTTATTTCCCGTCTCAGAAGTGAACTATGCCGATTAGTTACACTTTCATAAAAAGGTTGAAATGTTTCGCCGAAAAACATGCCTCGCTCTACGACAGTCAAGGAATCAGATACCATTTATGTTCAATAACTTGATTCAGATCTTTCAGAAAAGAATGTTAATATAAACTCCATTAGACGATCTTATTTAAATGGTTTTCTTATTTTTGTCTTTTCCATTCGTTTAATATCACACAAGTGTGCATGGGAAAAACAGTGGTTATACGTTTTATACTTACTATATACATGCATCGATATTGCTTCTTGAAAAACTATAACTTATAACTATGATTAAAGATCTGTTTTTCCGTCTTGCAAAACAAATGATAAAAGGTATCTCTCATTTGCACATTTAGTCTTTTCTTTTTCTACTTTGAGAACCAACCAAAACCTGTTACAGGAGACGTTTGAGAAAACCCTGGAATAAATCTTTAGTTTGACACAAAATTGTAATGTAATTACTACGTGATCTATTAACGCGCAAACCATTAAGCTATTAGGAGCACTGCTCTAAATATACTTGTGTATACTTTTGCAACAGTTCACCTGTCTAAGAATTATAAAAAGCATTCATAATTTCGCGCCAAACGCCACGAGTAAATATTCGCGCCTTTTCTTTGGACTGATCTATTAAATAGGTATGATAGCTTCAATTAAATTTTAAAAATAAAACATTCTTAGCGCCTTTATTTTATTTCGACGTTAAGAAAGTATATGTAACAAATTATACACATTACATATTGTATCTAGCCCAGTTACACTAAAGCAGTGAAACGGAAATTAAGTTTTAAGATTGACACTCAATTGCAACTTACTACTGTAACGTGTCGGACCTGAGCGGTTAGTAGGTCCGTGCTCGGATTACCGAGTTTTACTGGGGATATGATTGAATGCAATATTTACAGATAATAATATGACACCTGCCTGGTGTCTTTAAATCAAATGACCTAAGTTCTTTGAACACTTATATATCTTCAGTTAATACCGGTACCTGCCTGGTGCCATATGACAATTGCCTCACATACAACTGACTATATAAATAAACAGCCACCTGCCTGGTGCCTCTTGATTTAGCCTTTAACACCTGCCTGTTGTCTTACTGCTTACCAAGTTGCCTATATAACTCTAGCCAAGTAGCTACAATATACTTAGACAGTATTTAACTTTGTGAGAGCTTCTCTGTCCTAATGACAAACCTATAGTTAACGTCACACAGCTATATTTTAACTAGTCACTGACTTCGGCAACTTTGCACAATACGATTTGATCGATACACTAATTCGTTTCTGTACCAGAGTGAAGACACAAGTCAATTGGCTGTACTGCCCCCTTGTATCTCAACTTAACCAATGATCATAAGTTATCAGATATCATATTGATAAAATACTACAGACTGCCTTTCTTTTGGCAACACTATTATTATTTTCTAACAGAACATCATTTATCAATATTACTGGTATAATTCTTTTGTCAATTGACCAATTAATTACAATATTTACATTGATTATCTATTATAATATAAACAAGTAACGGGAGGTAACTCCTCCAACCATTTCACTACTACGTGAGAGTCGAAGTAGTTTTTTACATTTCATGTATCCTTATGTCAGAATCGTTTAATCAAACGCTCAGCTGCCTCCATAAACCCCTACTCGCGAAATGGCGGAGTTGACAGAGAGAGCCGCCATCTTGGTCCCGCTTCAGATTTTCAAATGTTAATGTCTAGAGTTCAGACAAATCAATATACAAACAACTTATACAGTAAGCATCAATAGAAGGGTCTCTATTATCATTCCAAAAATTAATAAAAAATATTGAAAAACAAAAAAATTAAAAAATGCGATTTTTTCAATTCACTTCTCCTAACGACAGGAAGTATCGACGACGAACGAAGAGTCGCGTCCTGGATGGTATATATCACGATCTATAATCCTTGAAAGTTTCATGTTGATATCTTTTACCGTTTTTGAGTTTAATTGCGGACAAAATGTCATTTTAATTTCAGAAAATTGTCTGTAACTTGGCACCGGAAGCGAATTTCCAAAAATCTCCCGGATATATAAAATTCATGTTACGACACATCATTTCTGAAAATTTCACGTCATTTCATCCAGTAGTCTTCGAGAAATCGCGTGCACAAAATTAAAAAGTCAAAAAAAATAAAAAGAATAATAATAAGAAACAGTAGAATCACTATAAGGTCTTCCGTGAAGACGGAAGACCTTAATTACTTATCTTCATCTAAGGCTTTGATTTCTTGAATTAATTAACAATTATATATACAATACAGATTGCCAATATTAACCCTCTAGTGCCCAAACCCAATTATGTCAGTCAGAAAATTCTTAATATTATAAATAACGCTTACATCAGTATTTTTTACCAGGAATCGGAGAGTTTTACGCAATATCTCAATTTTTAAACATTTTACAGCTTGTAGCATATATGTTACACTGGGCATTACCGCTCCATGTTGCATATTTGATACAAATACTCGAGCATTTCAATTTGAAAATACATTTAATTTGATAAAACATTTGAGTAACTAGTAACAATAACAAAATAAACAAATAACAAACTTAGAATTTTTGAGTATTAACAGCAAGATCAACAGTTCAAACTAGAATAATCAGTTGTATGTATGGCACTAGTGAAGAAGCATTGTTTTTCAATGTTTCATTTTCCTGAGAAATGAAAAGCTGTAAAACAGTTTCTGTCTTTGTTTAGACAAAGATGAGCATTGCATTTAATGCATTTGACATAGGAGAATCCTTCACAGTACTGGTATTTGCAACGTTGACGTTTTGCATCCCATAGAGGAAAGTGGTCTAGGCAGTCCTGACTCACATCCAGAGTGGGTTTCCTCGTCAGTGGTTTGGGGACAGATGGTGATGACAAACCTGCTGGTCGTCCAACTTTAGATTTAAATTCGATCAACCCTGATGCAACATCTCTGATAAAGTTGCAGAGCTTCATTGGTTTCCGATGTAATAGACTACAGTGCCGCTTATACCAGAGCCATGCATTAACAGCAGCGATGAGAATGGTGTGCCAAAAAATGTACATGTACCATCTTCTGGATTTCATTTTTTGTTTATACAGGGAAACCAGAGAATCCAAAAGGTCAACACCTCCCATCAATT